AGGTAGGCGCGGACCTTAGCGCCGAGTCGGTCACTGCACACACTGCCAGCCTGCGTTGGCTGGCCGGTCCAGGCTGCCGATGACCGTAGCATGGGGGGGAGAGGAAAGACTGTCTACAACGAGAAATTAATTCCGGCGGCAAATCTGCTGTAAACAATTGTTTCCATGGGCAATTAAGTGAACATTATGTGCCGTCGAAACAATCAACTGCTGAACGACTTCAGGTGGACCAGATAGTATGATCTCCCCTCAGAAAACTACGTAACACAATGAGGCTCGCTCTGGAAAGATCGATATAGAAAATAGCCATGAAAAGAACACGAATAGGAGACTGAAATAACTGTCGGTTTCCATTTGGTTTTAAAGAAGTACAAGGACCAGTTGAAGCAACCTAGGAATGGAAATATATGGGGCATGAAAGCAAGCTGTGAAAATGGAAGAATAGGATAAAAAGGAACACTTCGTCGCAAATACTCGGACACAACATGATCGTTGATCGAAGATCGTAGCTGGGTCGACGCAGGGTTGTTTCCAAACGCAAGAATGGGAAAATCGGAACCTAGCACATTTCCGCTTTTTAAAAAGAAGCATAATGAGGCCTATACGAGTCCAAGATCGAAGGCTTGCTTGACAAAGCCAACATTCTCGACGATAGCACCGCTGACCCAGGAGTTCCAGCTCTCACATTCAGCTGAAAACCGAGGATAAAAAAAAGATAAATCAAAAATCATTTCTACTGTCAACATTTAACGAGCCTCGGCATTACTAGACAATGACTGGAGTCTTCCTCCCATTGAAAACCTCTGAGTGATAAGTAAATCAACCAAACCTCTCTACTGTAATCTCATACAATGATGCAATCGAGGCCACTGATTATCTCATAGATGAAGGGCGAGTTTTGTTAAATTCAAGAACGAATAAGGCAATCTAGGGGAAAAGCGCTTACTGGCAACTTTTATAATATTATAGCATTTAAAACTGGCGGAGGCATATTGCGAACTTGAAGTAAATGAGGCCGGCGTTTGAAAGGTACTTGAAAAACCATGACACCCTACATTTAGTACACTATAGAAAAACGGTCTTCACACATTTGAAAACGCTCCTATTGCTTGCAGTGCAAGTAACCTCTGCCTGTAATACATTAAGAAATAAAATACTGAGTAGGACAGTGTTCTTGCAAATGTATGTTCACACACAACAACTTAAGGGTTTCATCGTGTATGATATGCAGACGCGTGACTTGCAGAACAGATCCTTCCGTGGGAGGTAATTCGCCTATCTTGCCTGCCTACCTTGTCAGGCTTCTGAGACATGTACAGTGCAAAGTAAATACCTTCTTACATGTTTTCCGGATTAAGGCTGAACAAAAAGCCCATAGAAGGTGGTAAGGTGTTATTGTCAGCGTTGAGTTTGAGGACGCCGATGGCCCCGTAAACAATCTTTATAGGAAAGCACCAAGCCGAGTTAATATATTTTAAAGTGTGGATTTGAGCTAATCAATGGCTCTTGCTGTATGCCTAAGCGATTTTCAGAACTTCACCTAGATGAAACCAACGCAAAATGGCGGGTGGTCGGTAAAAGCTCTAAATATCTGCTCCAACAGCCGCTCGCCGTACAGAGTGCAATGGAGAGGACAAGTTAAAAAAAGAATGAGGTGTAATGGGGAAGCCACTTGCCAAGCATAAGGCCCATGGCAGACAGAGTAGGCTGCTGGGAGAGTTTTTTCAGTCGCTCTATCGGACCGGAGGCGGAGAGGCGAGTGAACTCGGCGAGAGAGGAAGTGGCCAGGGCGTGACAGGTATCAGTCGGCGCTCCCATGACGTGTTCAATTCGCACGGGCAAGGTGACGGCCTGTCTTTGGGCAGACAAATTGAAAGCCCCCAGTTGAATTTTGTGTGTCTGGGAGGAGAAGGAGGAGTCAAGACGAGATAAATAAGGAAACGCATAGAACAGCATAATTGGGGGATGATAGTCGCAGCAACCACCGGAGGGCAAATGATCCGACAGGGCACTTGAAGTGATCAGGTGAAGGCCAAAGGGAACAAAGATCAAATAGGACAGTCGTTCAAGGGTAGATTAAGCTCCTCTTCGAAGGAGATGAGAATTTCTACGTTGCGTCGGTTGCACGCAGCAGACTACTTGACCCAACACAACTGTCGACTGAGTTCACAGCCATTGTAAGACGACAGCCGCAACCGATACAAGATGAGGCAGTGAACGAAACATCAAACATAGACCAACCGGACGAAAACACGTGGCAGAAGGCACGAGAAGCCTAACTAAGTCCCAGTTTTGTCTGCATAACCTTGAAACCTCTGTGGAGTGTGCCAGAGGAGCTATTAGAGCCTATCGCAGGGGGTTAAGTGAATCAAACCCAGCAACTGCGATCTTCAGACCGTGGTTGCTTAGTGGTGAAGTCGTTTAAGGCCAGAGTAGAAGGAAGAATACATTTTGTACACAGGAACGGAAAAAAGATGGAAGAAGTCTGACTTGGGAGAACACGACCACTCAGGAGATTGACCGG